TTTTTTAAACTTTTTGAGTTTAAAAAGCAGTTTTGTAAAAAAGCCTTTGTGAAACCAAATGTCCAACTCTTAGAGGCTGATGATTTTTCATCCTGTTGTGCATATTTTTGAGTGGGTTGATTTGAACCGTAGACAATAAAAAGAGCTCAGGAAAGTCTTGCTTGTCACTTGGACTTGGACTTAGACCACGGCTGACTGGCCCTGCAGCATCTTGGCTTTTTTGGCATCCTAAATTCACAGATTCTAATTTCTTGGGTCTGACTCTCAGCTGAAACCTGATATGGTCTGCTGTAGGCTGTTCCCACCTCAGTACCAGATGTGCCGAACTGAAAGCAAGCACAGGCTAAATGAACTCTAAGTGAACTACATGAACTTTAAATGAACTCAGACTCAGATCTTTGTAGATTTGGGTCACCCCTCTTGTGGGGCTCTAAACTATGAAACCATCCTGGGTGCTGACTCGACCATTTGGGTCAGTTGCAGATGCCCACAAGAAAAGGCTTGTTCTCTCATGGGACTATCTGAAACTGATCTGCTGATTGTCTCGATATTTCTGATATAGAAACTGATCGTGTTCCTAACTTGTGATTTCTGCAAAAGCTGCGAATTGGGGGACAGCACACTGCAGGGGCTGTGATCCCTTTCCCACTCCTGACAGATCAAATTCTTGACCCCTTCTTGGGGCTGTGTCACTGCTGTTGATGGTTGTGTTTGACTTTCCAGATTAGTTGCAATTTACAACAATGGACTGATAGCCTGACTCTCCTTCCCTTACCTTTGTCCTGATGCACGAAACTTAGTAAAATAATTTGCTTATTAAATGCAGCTGTCCCTAGAAAGAGAGCGATCTTTTCTAGGTTACTCACTGGATAAATGATCAGGATGAAAGGGGTGGGAGGTATGAAAACCCATTTTTAAAATATTTGAAAATTTAGGATTTTATCTTGACCAATAACTGGCCGTGATATGTCTTTCTGGTTAAGTTATATAAAAAGGTTTGCCTATGAAAATGCTTTTAAACTTCTTGCATATGAGTCTTCTAGACAAAAGGTCCGGATGAAAGGAGGGGATGATTGTACTACGATTGCTAAGTGGGACACAGATTTTGTAACAGTGGAGAAAAAACAAAATGCTGACACCTGGGGAGGCATGGGTGAAGGGAGAGGGCATTAATGATCTTTGATTTTTAGAACTGCTCCTGGAAGCTTTCCCTTCCTCCCTAATAAAAGCACATATTGTCATCCCTGGTGCTGAGGGTGCTTTGAATTCAAACTGACTACTGAGCCTAAGGTCAGATTCCAAAGAGCTGATTGTGAGACAGCAGGGGGTGGCCCTGGCTCCTGCACCTTCCACTCAGAGCACCTCCAGATGTCACCCACATTTGCAAAGCACATGAACTGGTGTCGTGAACAGACAAACCTGTTTGGATCCAGCTGCCTTCAGGAGACAATCCCATTGAACCAAGGACTGAACCGAATTTTTTTGGACTGGACTGGAAACCCTAGGACAGGAATCCCCACGGCAGAGGCCACATTAGGGGCCCTGTTAACCTGAACTGCCTGATTAATGTATGTCCTGCTTGAGATGCTCTAACAATGGTAAACTCTTTTTGTCCAAGGGTACTATGTGTGACTTCTGGAATTGTACTTGTCTATGAGCCCTGACTATCCTGGCACTACCTCAGCCCTGAAAGGCATTCAGGTCAGCTTCAATTTACTGGCCAGGCTTGTGCTGCACCTGGATTGATGCCTCCAGCCAGGTAAAAAAAAGGTTAATACAGAAACTTAAGGAGGAAGCCACCTGGCTTTTGAAGATACATGTTTATGGTAATGGATTTTTTTTATCTGGCTACATATATGACCCCTGAGGGTATAACTGAGGACAATACTACAGGTTGGTTTCACTCTGCTGCATGTGGTCCTACTGACAAAGATATCTTGGCCAAGAGCCAGGGGGATGGACTGTGCAGAAAAGAGTTCACATGGCAGACCTGAGAATGCTGTTCTTAGAAAGACCTACTTGCAAGGTTGGCCCTTGGCTGACATCTGGGGACTTGGATTTTGGGAGGGTTCCACCATCTTCTTGATGATAAGGGTGGTTTCCTGTGTCTAAACTGTGCAAACAGTATGGCTTATGCTGAACACCTGCTTTCCTTCTGAGAGTTTGGAGTTTAGGTACATGCTAGGCAGAGGTTGCCTATGTGACCAGTCCATAATCAAAACGTTTGTCACTGAGTCTCTAATGAGCTTCCTTGGTAGACAACATTTCACATGTGTTGTCACAATTTGATATTGGAAGAATTAAGCATATGCTGTGTTACTCTACTGGGAGAGGCCTCTTGGAAACTTGTGCTTGGTTTCCTCTGGACTTGCCACCATGCACCATTTTTTTTTTTTGGCTGATTTTGCTTTGTATCCTTTTGCTGTAATAAACCTTAGCCATTAGTACGGCTATATGCCGAGTCCTGTGAATCCTGCTGAATCACCAAACCTGAAGGTGATCTTTGGGACCTCCAATGCAACAAGAATGTTTATAGGAGCTTTATTTAGAAAAACCAAAAACTGAGGGAAAAAACTCAAATGTTCATCAACACGTGAATGAATAAATAATGATACATTCATATGCTCAAATATTATACAGCAGTGAAGATGAATGAACTAATTCGATGTACAATATGGATGAACCTCATAAACATAATAATGTTGAGTGAAAGAAACCAGATATAAAAAAGTACATATTATATGACTCCTAATATAAAGCTCAAAAATGGACAACTACTTATTTATGGTGATTGAAGTTTGAATGGTGGTTAACTTTGGGAGCTGGGGGACATTAATAACTGGGAAGGGGCATGAGGGAGGCTTCTGTAGTGCTGGTAATGTTCCATATCTTGATTTGGGTTGTGTGTTTACTATGTAAAAATTCATCAGTTTTTACATTTAAAATTCATGTACATGACTTCATGTATGTTATACTATAAGAAATTACTACAAAAAGACCCTACTGACCATTGATGGATGAAAAAGATAAACAAAATGTGGTGTATACATACAATGGAGTATTTATTCAGCCTTAAAAAAGGAATAAAATTTTGACACACACTACAAAAGGGATGAGCCTTGATGACATTATGCTAAGTGGAATCAGGTAGTCACATATGGACAAATGCTGTATGGTTCCACATATATGAGGTACCTAGAGTAAGCAGATTCATAGAGACAGAAAGAATGGTGATTTCCAGGGACTAGGGGGAGGGGAGCATGGGGAGTTACGTTTAATGGGTACAGTTTCAGTTTGGGAAGATGAAAAAGTTCTGGAGATGGGTGGTCGTGGTAGAGGAATAACATTGTGAGTGTGCTTGATGCGACTGAACAATTAAAAATGGTTAAAATGGTAAGTTTTGTGTTATGTATATTTTACCATAATAAGAAAAAGAAACAAAATGGAAGGAGCAGTGGATAAACCTGTGATATTGTGATATTGATCTCAGGTAAAATGTGTGCTTTACAGAGTGGACCCTGGAATATGATCAAGGCATTGACAGTTCTCTGGTTCTGTCCATAAGAGTGAAGCAACAATAAAAGTGTGCCATACTTGGGGCCAGCCCAGTGGTTCAGTGGTTAAGTTTTCATGTTCTGCTTCGGCGGCCCAGAGTTTGCCAGTTCAGATCCCAGGTGCGGACCTACGCACTGCTTGTCAAGCCATGCTGTGGCAGGCATCCCACACATAAAGTGGAGGAAGATGGGCATGGGTGTTAGCTCAGGGCCAGTCTTCCTCAGCAAAAAAGAGGAGGATTGGTGGCAAATGTTAGCTCAGGGCTAATCTTCCTCAAAAAAAAAAAGTGTGCCATACTTGATAAGTGACACACTTAGATAAAGCAGGGGCAAAAATAAAATCCCCAAGAAGATTGTGTTCCAGCCAAAATAAAAACATTAGTACTAGTTCTGTCACTACTGGCATGAGAGGATATTCAAAATATATATTTTGGGGAAGAAAGAGTTTAAGAACAATGTGTATAGTGTTATCCTATGTTATACAAGGAAAAAAAGTGTGTGAATAAATGAACTGTTTCCTTATTGTAAGAGGTATTGATGTAATAATTACCTTTTGAAAGACAAAAAAAAATTCAATTACATTTAACATAGACATCAATTATCAGATCGATTCTAATTTCAGAATGCTAAACTATAAAAAGAAGACATCCTATACTTAAGGAAATAAGGTGGATGTGTGTGTGAATGTGCACACATGTGTGTATACATACATACATATAGACACACGTGATATTTAGACACATGATTTATATATTCTATTTACATTTTCATTAAAATTATGCCTTACTTTTGTAGCTGTGTGATAGTTCATCTTCCCTCTTTCTCAAGTTTTCAGAAATGTTCCTTTGCCAAGTGAATTTTACTCTGTGTATAAAGTTCCACAAAATTTTCTATCAGACACAAGAATATTAAAGTATTTTTACTTATTTGGATAAAATGTGGTGTCCCGTTGAATAAAATGTGTCAGTGTTATGCTATTGAAGGAGATCAAGGTACACTTTTATTTCAGTTTTTCAGTTTAGTATGCCGTCTTTAAGCTGACGAGGTTTTTGTTCAGCTTCGTTGAGGCATAGTTTACATTAGGCTTGATAATCAATATAGCTTTTGCACTTCTATTAAACTTTAAGGAAATTCAGTGTATGAATATTGGTAATAAAATTCTATCATTCATAGAACTACTAATTTTTATGTACATTCTTGTCTCTCATATGTAGATAATGTGGCTTCTTTATAAGAGCATAAAGTTTCTTTAAGAACAGATAATTGCCTAGTATTTCTCTTGGAGAGCCCCATAATGCTTAGCATGGCCCTGTACATGATGTGGACACTAACTTTGAGACACAAAACTTAGTTTGTTTATTCAGGAAGTGTAAACTAATACAAAAAATGTTGCTGATTGGACCTGTGCACTAAAAATATCTTGACCATCTCTTAATTCTATCTCAGGATGCAACAGTAGAATGAAACTCAGTGGACGACCCTACAGACACATGGGAGTCCTTGGAACTTCAAAACTCTATGACATTCGGAAAACTATCTTTACCTTCACTCCACAGGTGGGTGGAATGAGCTTTAACATGCATTGAGATAAATGGAAATAAAAGAGAAACACTATAGAAATAAAGCCTTTACTGGAGTTAGGACAAGCATCAGAGTTCCAGGAGGCCTTGCACATATTAAGTTGCTCAGTAAATATTTGTTAAGTTGAACTGAATTGAACTTGTAGCACAGGGCTGTGCCAAGTGATTGTGGCTACCAAGAGTGGTCCTGGGTGTTGCAGAAACAGTAATAGGGATTTTACAAATGTTGAAGCACTTAAAAAAGTACTCTTTACTTTTTTTTTTATTGAGTTAATGATAGGTTACAATCTTGTGAGATTTCAGTTGTACATTAATGTTTGTCATTCGTGTTGTAGGTGCACCACTTCACCCTTTGTGCCCACCCCCCACCCCACCTTTCCCCTGGTATCCACTAAACTGTTCTTAGTCCATAATTTTAAATTCCTCATATGAGTGGAGTCATACACAGATTATCCTTCTCTCGCTGGCTTATTTCACTTAACATAATTCCCTCAAGGTCCATCCATGTTATTGCAAATGGAATGATTTTGTTCTATTTTACAGCTGAGTAGTATTCCATTGTATATATGTACCACATCTTCTTTATCCATTCGTCTGTTGCTGGGCACTTAGGTTGCTTCCATGTCTTGGCTATTGTAAATAATGCTGCAATGAACATTGGGGTGCATAGGACTTTTGGGATTGCTGACTTCAAGCTCTTTGGATAAATACCCAGTAGTGGGATGGCTGGATCGTATGGTAGTTCTATTTTTAATTTTTTGAGGAATCTCCATACTGTTTTCCATAGTGTCTGCACCAGTTTGCATTCCCACCAACAGTGTATGAGGGTTCCTTTTTCTCCACAACCTCTCCAACATTTATTACTATTAGTTTTAGATATTTTTGTCATTCTAATGGGTGTAAGGTGATATCTTAGTAGTACTCTTTACTTTTAAAAGTTAAAAATAAAGACTATATTTGTCCTTTATAAACAAAATATAGTCTTTTTTATTCATCTACTGAATTATGTGTTCTCTTTGTTTTGGGGAGGGGCCCTTTTTACATGCCTGGAGATCTTTGATACCCTCTTCTAAACAAAAATGTCAGTACTGTTTTAGCCATTATTATATACATTGTTAGCCTGTTTGTTAGCTACAGTGCAATAGCAAGCCCAATTATATGTATGTATGGGAGGAGAAACTATTTTATGGAAAGAAAGCTTAAGCTTCCCATTTGTCATCTTACATCTGAAATCATGCAGCTAAGGTATAGACGAAAGAGTATTGGACCGTAGATTCTATTTCTTTCTTTGCCATTTGCTAGCCATATGACTTTGCTAATCTATTTAATGTCTCTTGGCCTTATTTTTCATCTGTTAAAAAAAGAAAAGCATCACTAGGTTGTTATAGAATTAAATAAAATTATGTACTTGAAAATACTTTGTAAACTATAACACACTGTAAAAATGTCAAAACTTATATGTACCAATCGACCACCAGATACTTTGGGAAGAATTAGGCATTAAATTTGGGGGTATTATTTCCTCTATGACATCTTATGTACCTTTGTGAATATGTGAGTGCTTTAAAATATTATTTGATAGTTGTGAGAGTAAATTATTCTGAGCTGTTATTTTTCTTTTTCTCAGTTTATAGACCAGCAACAGTTCTACTTGGCTCTGGACAACAAGATGATAGTGGAAATGCTTAGAACAGACCTCTCCTACCTCTGTAGCCGCTGGAGGATGACAGGCCAGCCCACTATCACCTTCCCCATCTCACACACCATGCTTGGTAAGGTTGTATGAAGCAAGAAATAAATGTATTTTTGGAATAAGTCATGTGGTTAGCCCTTCAAAATCTTAGAGTCACTGGAGAGCTGCTTCTGACAATTTATTCTTTCAGCAGTTATTATTAGCTTCTATTTTGTGCCAGGCACTTTAATAAGCACTGGGGATACATAGAATGAGTAAGGCAGATGAGATTTCTACTCTTATGGAGCTTATGTTTTAGAATAAATATGTAGCAAATAAACCAATACACAGGAATATTTCAGGTGGCTTGAGAGCTATAATTCAAAAAATATAATGGAATAACTTGGTGGGGTCCTACTTCAGATAATTGGTTTCTAGGTCAATTTGCAGAAACTTTATTAACACAATTCATTTAAAGACAGTAATACTACATTGTGCATCTGTCTTACTCCAGTGGAGCATCAAGATTTTATAGATTAGTTCCCAGACTTCTCCTTTCAAGGCTTGTCTAACTGAAGCAGGAAAATTCAACAGGGAAAAGTGAAAAGGCTTTCAGTTTATCTTTCCTTTATTGGCTGGACTTCCTGACGTAGCTTACTTGAAACTGAGTGAAAGGCTTTATTGTTCTGTCAGTTCCTGGAGGACTAGAGCCAATACTGAAGCACTGCTTCCTTTCTGTGTCTCAGCTGTTGCTTCCAAAAGCCTGTTTGTACTGCCAAAGTACATAGAATTCCTTTCCATTAGAGAAGAACCCTTTGTCATAAATTATTCAAAGTCCAGACAGATGGTTAGGGATTTTTGTCACATCTCTAAAGTGCTTCAAAAGCACAGGAGTTGAGGAAGTAGGGTAGTTTTTCTTCTTTTTGTCTTTCTTCTTCATTTAAGACAATTAACAAGTACCCATTTAATAACTGCTGTGTTCCTGGAATTGTCTTCAGAGAGTCTGAAGTCTAATTGGAGAGGCCAAGCTAATACACAAAAATAATAGAAAAGAATTCAAGGCAGTATATAAAGAAATACTAAACCATTAGATTGGTATTTTACAGTGAAGGTGATCAAGTCATCAAAGAAAATTTTCTTGACTGAGGTAGGACTTATTCAGGCTTTTTGGGATGGGTGGTATTCATATGGGAGGAGGGAAGAAGGAAAAGTACTTTAGGTGAGGAAAAAATTACCATGAGTGAGGCCTGGAGGCAAGGATGAGCTTGACTTGTGAGTGGACAGTGAAGAGGCCAACCTGAATAGAGTGAGCCTTGCATGTTGGAGTATAATTATTAACAAAATTGGATAAGTAAGGTGGAGTCAGATTATGAAGACCTTGAAAATAAGTAGTGATATTTAAAACATTTTCTCGCAAGTCTGAAACTATCAGAAGTTTTTGAGCAAGGAGGGACATGATGAAAGTGATATTTAGGGAATATTGATTTGATGACAGTATACATTATAGTGAGGAGAATGTGAGATCAAGGAAACTAATTCAGGCATGAGGTGATGAGAATATATGCTGGATTAGTAGTAGTAAAAATAGAATGGGAAAGGATACAAGAGTCATTTTAAACAATGCTTGCAAGACAGGTGTTGGCTAACTAGATATGAGATATGAATCAAGATAATGCCAAAATTTAGAGACTAGGTAAATAATGCTGCCATTGATAGAAGCAGTGAAATTCCATAGGAAGATGCCAGTTGGAAAGAGACATGTTGAGTTTGTGGTGACAAAGAGATTTCAGAATTGAAATACCTCATATTCGGGATGAGATACACAGCTATATCTTGGAAAGAAGAATAAAACTAAAGATCTAGATTTAAATTACAAAGTTTTGATATTTATTACTTGGTCACACAACAAAAACAGCAGGAAAGCAGGAACAATAGCAATAATAACTGCAGTGTTTATTGAACACTTTCTCTGAGCCAGGCACTGAGCTAAGTGCTTTCAATGCATTATCTTGAAATCTCTACAACAACCCTATGCAGGTGGGTACTATTAATAGCCCCATTTTATAGATGAGGAAGGTAACTCATTGTCCAGAGTCACAAAGCTAGTAAGTGACAGTGTTAGGCCTCAAACGAAGCCTGTCAGTCTCCAAAGCCTACATTACCAAGAGCTGTGTGTTTTGTGAGAGAAAATTTTGTGCTGGTGAAATGAAAATGAACATATTAGTAATCGCATTAAAATGTGAATTTCTGGGGCTGGCCCTGTGACCGAGTGGTTAAGTTCATGCACTCCTCTGTGGCGACCCACAGTTTCACCAGTTCGAAGCCTAGGCGTGGACGTGGCACCACTTATCAAGCCATACTGAGGCAGCGTCTCACATGCCACAACTAAGAATATACAACTATGTATCAGGGGGCTTTGGGGAGAAAAAGGAAAAAAATAAAATCTTTAAAAAAATAAATAAAATGTGAATTTGTTAAATTCTCACATTAAAGACAAAGATTCCCAGAATATGTAAAAGAGCAAACTCCAGCTAGATGCTGCTTACAAAAGATATCCCTAAAATAAGATTATATGGAAAAGTGAAAAATAAAGGAACATGTAAAGATATATCATGTTGGGGCTGGCCCAGTGGCACAGCAGTTAAGTTCGCACTTTCTGCTTTGGTGGCCCAGGATTTGCCAGTTCGGATCCCAGGTGCGGACATGGCACTGCTTGGCAAGCCATGCTGTGGCAGGCGTCCCACATATAAAGCAGAGGAAGATGGGCACAGATGTTAGCTCAGGGCCAGTCTTCCTCAGCAAAAAGAGAAGGATTGGCAGCAGATGTTAGCTCAGGGCTAATCTTCCTAAAAAAAAAAAGATATGTAAATACTAACAAAAAGAAACATGGTAGCAATATTAATAACAAAAATAGTAAATAGATTTCGAGGCACAAGTCAGTAAATGGGACAAGAAGGATGTTTTATATTGATGAGAGTTACAGTATACCAAAATGGTGTAACGTTTATAAACTTTTATCTACTGAATAATATCAATGAAATATATAAAGCAGATATTTAGGAAAACTTGACAACGTGATAAAACCATTGTACAGTCATAGTCAGAAATTATAACGTACTTCTATCGGAATGTCACAGATCATTTATACAAAATAATTTAAGATATAGAGAATTGGGGCTGGCCCTGTGGCTGAGTGGTTAAGTTCCCGTGCTCCACTGCAGGCGGCCCAGTGTTTCATTGGTTCGAATCCTGGGTGCGGACATGGCACTTCTCATCAAACCACGCTGAGGCAGCATCCCATATGCCACAACTAGAAGGACCCACAACGAAGAATATACAACTATGTACTGGGGGGCTTTGGGGAGAAAAAGGAAAAAAATAAAATCTTTAAAAAGATATAGAGGATTAACAAACCCGATTTTTGTATTTATGTGTGTATATAAAACTATACCCAAAAAGACAGAATGCACAAAGAATGTTTATTTTTAAAAAGTAGAAATCATACAGGTAGTATTGCCAGACATATGACATAAAACTAATTAATACAAGAATAGTAAGAAACAAATCTGACCGTGAAGGAATTAAAATTTTTTTCCAAATAATTCTTAGATTAAAGAGGAAATCAAATTTGAAATTATATAGGGTTTTAAAATGAAAAATGATACTACTACTTATGAAAACTTAAGAGATTTGGCCAAAGTCATATTTAGAAATTTTCATATTCTTAAATACTTTTACTTTGAAAAAAAGAAAAGAGTTCTGGTTTCCAGATAAAATGGAATAGACTCACTTCTCCCTATTTATCTTGCTAAGTACAGCTAAAAGCTTTGGACATGATCTATAAAGCAAGCATAAGAAGACTGAAAGTTGAAAAAAAGAAGGGAGACTGGCTAGGGACTTTGCACCTGAGAAATGACACAGCAGTGAATTCCTGGGTTTTCCTTCTGCCTCATAGATCCTGGACTGGGTGCTGGAGAAGCTGTTATAGCGCAGAAACACAAACAGGCACAGATAAAAAAAGGCCCAAGAAAAACCTTCTCCCTCTAGCCAAAGGAACAGGAAAGGGGCAGCCTAGCCACATAGAAAACTTTTAGACGATAATTGTTCTACTCTAGCCAAACACCACAGAGAAAAACTGCAGTACCATTCCCAATCCTACCAGCAGAGGCTGAGTGGGGACCCTAGATTTCCACCTTCACATGACAGTGAAGAGGCACTTCTCTCTCTCCTTAGGGGTAGTGTCTGAAAAGCATTAGTGGGGAGCTTAGACTTTCATCCTTGCCCATCAGTAGAGGAGCCCCTTCCACACCCACCTAGCAGTAACAAAGTAGTGTTCCCTTTCCTGCCACACAGTATCAGAGGAGATCTGCAGTATCAGAAGATTCAGTAAGATCCAGAGTCTCACAAGATAATACCCCAGATTTCCAGAATACAATAGAAAATTACTCATACCAACGTCCAGGAAAATCTCAACTTCAAGAGAAAAGATGATCAATAGACACTAGTACCAAGATGACAGAATGTTGGAATTATGACAAAGATTTTTAAGGAAGTCTTCATAAAAATACTTAAACAAGCAATTATGACCACACATGAAACTTGAAAGTAGGAAGTTGCAGCAAAGAAATAGAAATTCTCAGCAAAGAAGTTGAAGATATAAAGAACTAAATGAAAGTTTTAGAACTGAAGACTACAATAACTGAAATGAAAAACTTACTAGATAAGCTCAATAGCAGAATGGAGATGATAGATTAAACTTGAAGATAGTACTATAGAAATGACCCATTCTGAACAAGAGTAAAAATAGCCCAAAGAAATATTAACAGAGTCTCAGGGACCTGTGGGACTAATAACAAAAGATCTAACATTCATGTTCTAAGAATCCCAGAAGGAGAGGAAAAAGAGTATGGGACTGAAAATGTATTCCAACAAATAATGGCTGAAAAATTGGCCAAAGGCATAAACCTGCAGTTTCAGGAAGCTGAGAAAGCCCAAGACAGGATAAACCCAAAGAAACCCATGCCAAATCACATAATAAACTCTTGAAAATTAAGGAAAAAGAAAAAAATCTCAAAAGCAGTAAGATAGAAATGATGCCTTGCCTATATGGGAAAAGCAATTAGAATGACAGCAGATTTCTCATCAAAAGCCCTGGAGAACAGAGGGAAGTGGCACAATATTTTTCAAGTGCAGAAAGAAAAGAATTATAAACTAAGAATTCTGTATCCAGCAAAAATGTACTTCAAGAATAAAGGGGAGGGGCTGGCCCTGTGGCCAAGTGGTTAGTTCATGCACTCCGCTTCAGTGGCCCAGGGTTTCATGGCTTTGGATCCTGGGCGCAGACCTAGCACCACTCACCGAGCCATGCTGAGGTGGCATCCCACATAGCACAACCAGAAGAACCAACAACTAGAATATACAACTATGTACTGCTGGGCTTTGGGGAGAAGAAGAAGAAGAAAATAAAAGGATTGGCAACAGATGTTAGCTCAGGTGCCAATCGTTAAAAAAAAAAAAAAAAAGAATGAAGGGGAAAGAAAGACATTCTCAGCTAAAATAAAACTAAGTGAATTTGTCTGCAGGAGATCTGCCCTAAAAGAATGGCTTAAAGAAAGTTCCTTTAAATGGAAAAGAAATAATCCAAGATGGAATTATTGGATGTTGGAACATCAAGAAAGAAAAAGAACAGTGGAAAGACTAAGAATATGGATAAATACAATAGACTTTCTCCACTTCAGTTTTCTAAATTATGTTTGATGGTTGAAGCAAAAATCATAACACTGTCTGATGTGGTTCTCAAAATATGTAGAGAAAATCTTTAAGGCAATTATATTATAAATGGAGGAAGGTAAGGGACTGAAAGGAGGGTAAGATTTCTACACATTACTTTAACTGACAAAATGTTGACAGTAGTAGACAGTGATGTATATATAATGTGTGTTTGTATGTATAATGTAATACCTAGAGTAACCACTAAGAAATCTATACAAGGAGATATAGTCAAAAAGACTATAGATAAATCAAAATGGAATTCTTGTATGTGTTTTAGAAGGCAGGAAGAAGAAAATAGAAAGATGAAGAACAGAGGAAGAAACAGAAAACAATAAGTAAAATGGCAGGCTTAACTCTAACATATCAATAATTATAATAACTGTAAATAGCCTAAATACACCAATTAAAAGACTGAGATTGGCAGAGTAGATAAAAGAATGACCCACATATATGCTGTCTCCATGAAATTCACTTCATATATTACAGTATAGGTAGACTGAAATGAAAAGAATGGGAAAAGATATACCATGTAAAATTAATTTTAAAAAATTAGAAGTGGCTACATTAATATCTGGTAAAGTAGACTTCAGAGCAAAGAGAAAAAAACAGATAATAAAAGCAACATTAGGAATGAGAAAGGGGACATAGCAACAGAAATGGAGGAGGCTTTAAAAATTATAAAAGAATACCAAGTACAATTTAGATAAAATTGACAAATTTTCTAGAAAAGTAAATAAGAATAAGCTTAATAAGAAAGATGCATATAACCATATGAGAAAAATTATAAAACTAATGAACGTAAAGAAAATTTTTAATTACTAGAGAGATATATCATGTTGCTAGATGAAAATAGTATTGAGAGGCTGTCCATTCTTATTAATCTGTCAATTCAGTGTAATTCCAAATCAAAATGAAAACACAAATTTTAATAAACAAGTTGAATCTAAATTTCATATGAAAGAGAAAAGGTACAAGAATAACCAGATTTTTTTTTAAAGATTGCCCCTGAGCTAACATCTGTTGCCAAATTTCTTTTGTTTCTTCTTCTTCTCCCCAAAGCCCCCCCAGTACATAGTTGTATATTCTAGTTGTAGGTCCTTCTAGCTCTGCCATGTGGGATGCTGCCTCAGCATTACCTGATGAGCGGTGCTAGGTCCGTACCCAGGATCCAAACCAGTGAAACCCCGGGCCGCTGCAGTGGAGCACATGAACTTAACCACTCAGCTATGGGGCCAGCCCCCAGATTTTTTAAAAACTAGAAACAGTGAGAGAAGACAGATCCATTGTAATTAAAACAATGATAAACATAGCAATCCAAATAGAGGCAAAAGAATATAAATAAATAGATTTGGGAAAATCATTAATTTAAGCCTGCTACTTTATATTTTATGCAAAATTAAATTCTAAGTAGATTAAAAAGCTAAGCAAAAAAATAATAAACCTATAAAAGTATTAGAAGAAAATACGAGGGAATGTTTTTGTGATCTTGGCCTAAAGAAAGCTGTCCTTTGCAAGACACAAAAAGGAAAATTTGAGAAATTTAAAAACATGAAAATTTAAATAAATCTTTTATACAAAAATGAACTGTGCTTGAGGTTGTAAGACAAATAATAAAATAGGTAAAGTGTTTGTCATTCATATGGTAGAGAAAAGGGTAATATTCACAAAACATAAAGAGCCCTTGAGAGTCAATTGGAAAAAAGATAAACTACTTGATGGAAACATGGGAAAAGGACGTTAAAAGGCAATTATATAAGAAATACAAATGGTCAGTATGTACATGAAAACATGCTCAATCTTACTAGTAATAAAATTAAAACAATGTCTTTTTTTTAATGTATCGGATAAACAAAGATTAAGAAGCTTATTAATGCCCATTGTTGTTAAAGGTGTGGAGAAGCAGTCACTTTCTGTACTGATAGTGGAAATATAATTGACATAACTTTTTTAATGGGCAATTTGGGAGTTTCCATAAAATTTTAATGTGTTCCCTTTGTCCTAGCAGTTCTACTTGTCAGAATCTATCTTAAGGAAATAATAGAATAAGTGCATAAAGATGTAGCTACAATGATCTTCATCACAGTGTTGCTTATAAAAAACAGTCTAAATGCTATGGAATTACTTTTAGCTTTTACAAAGGATAAGTTAGAAAGTGTGGGTCATGAAAGAGTATATGTAATATGATCTCCTTCACATAAAGTCGGATAACTTAGCTTTCTAAATATTTTTATGCCTACACACATAAACCAAGGCTCGTTAGATGAGATAATATGTAAAATGATTAGCACAGTGCTTGGCACATAACATTCAACAAATGGTTGCTGTTGTTATTGTTGTCAGCATTTAATAATCACTAAGTCTTCTGCTGTCAGGCACTGTGCTAAGTACTTATGATAAATACAATACTGTCTTTGAGGAACTCTGTTGGTCATGATAGCTTACCATTTGCCCATTCTGCGGTATTGTTGGCTCTCAGATGAATTGTTGAAATACAGGATGTTCAATGGGGAGTGTCTCATTTGTACCATCACCACCAGAATGTTGGTTTGAAATAATTGAAAGATTCCCTTTATTTCAACGTTAAAACCACAAAGATTGTTTTAAAATTCTCTTCATTTCAAGATGAAGATGGAACCAGCTTGAATTCAAGTATCCTGGCAGCACTCCGAAAAATGCAGGATGGTTATTTTGGTGGGGCAAGGTAAGTGACCTCTACACACTGTTTAGTGAAATAAAATGAAATTTGGAAACTGGGTATGGAGTAAATGGTACAATTGTGATAGCTTTCTCTATATGTTTAACAATATAATCCCATTCTATTCAGAGGAGCTCTCCCTCTCCTCCTTCTCTTCCTCTCTTCTTCCCTACCTTCCTCCCTCTCTCACACATGCATATGTGAGCACGTGCACGTGCGCACACACACACACACTTTTTTTTGCTGAACTATGTGTGAGTTAGCCAGAGACATGACTCCAACCCTGAGTACTTCAGTTTCTGCCTTCTAAGAACAAGAGCATTCTCACATGTAACTACAATATAATCATCACACTCAGGAAATTTAATATTGACATAATACTATTATCTAATATAGAATCCATATTCAAAATTAACCAATTTTTCCAATAATGTTTTCCCATAGCTTTTTCCCCCCACTCCAGGTTCCAATCAAAGATCACACATTGGCATTTTAGTTATTATGTCTCTTTGATGTATTTTAATCCAGAACAATTTCCCAGCCTTTTGTTAATCTTTCATGACAGTTTTGAGTACAGTTTTGAAGAAGGAAGGTCAGTTATTTTGCAGAATGCCTCTCAGTTTGTTTAAAGTGGTATCTGTCAGGTTCTCTATATCGTTTCTCCAACAGTCTTTGACCAAATGGTCTTAGCTTCCATTGATGAGTCAGTTATTACAAATGGGATTGTAAAATGATGATCCTCTGTTTCTATCATTCTGTGTATATCTATTAGTTAGAATCCTTCTGTAAAAAAAAAAAAAAGAGCTTTCCCTTACCTCCTTTTATTTTGTAGTTTTAGTGTCAGCATAGATTCATGGATTCTTATTTTATTCAGTATGTCATGCTCCATTCCTGTCATTATTTCAATGTTCACATTATCCAAGATCTGGCCATTGGGAGTCCCTTCAAGCTGGCTTCTTTAGAAAATCAGTACTACTCACTTTCCCTTTGGGTTTTGCAGTCGGCTTTATAAGTAGGAGAGGGTATGGCTTACAATCTATTATGATTCATAAAATTTTCGAATATATCTTTTATTTTCAAAATGGTCTTTCTGAGTATTTTTTAAAATGATGTGATGGATTTGTGATGATTTATCTTCGTTCTGTTCTAGCTTCTCTTATAGCCAATTGAAATTTTTGCTAGATGTTTGACATAGTTGGCAACATAGTACATGGCACTGAAAAGGAGCAAAACTGATCTGCTGGTAGATTGTGAACCTATAATTGTAGTCTTTATTAACACAGTACTCTAACCTACCCTACACTATGCCTAGGAGTACTGTAAAATTTCACTTTTAAAAATTTATACTAGTGTATAAATATTAGTAATCCCCCAATGAAACATTCTAGTTATCCTTTTTTTACTAAATGTTTTAAAAAGGATTTCTGGGGCTGGCTCCATGGCTGAGTGGTTAAGTTCGTGCGCTCCGCTGCGGCGGCCCAGGGTTGGGATCCTGGGGGCAGACATGGCACCGCTTGTCAGGCCACGTTGAGGCAGCATCCCACATCCCACAACTAGAAAGACCTGCAACTAAGATATACAACTATGTATGGGGGGGTTTGGGAAGATAAAGCAGAAAAAAAAAAAAAGAAGAAGATTGGCAACAGCTGTTAGCTCAGGTGCCAATCTTTAAAAAATAAAAAGGATTTCCTCTGATTTTCTGTTTTCTATTAACCCTCTAATTGTCAGGGTTCAAACAGGTAAATTGTCACAGTTTTTGACAACATCTTGCCGCACACATTTGAGCTTCATGGACCCCGGACCTGAGGGTAAGCTGTACAGTGAAGATTACGATGACAACTATAATGAGCTGGAATCTGGCGACTGGATGGATGACTATGGTTCAAGCAGTAATGGTAAGGAGGCTTCATAAAGGCATTGGCCTTGCTGGACAAGAATACAAAGTATTGTTGAGCATCCTCTTTAATATTTCTCACTGCCAGCACTCTCACTTCTATTTAATACACCTGTATTTCTACTTTGTTTGGCTTCACTTTTCATCTTTGTACTTACCTTTGGCTTCTGGTCTAATATCCCTGTGGTGATTGTGGAGTATGGAGTTGAACTATCCCTTACTAAAGGTTAGGGAAGATTTCTCCCCTGGTCGTATAAAATAGCTGGTGATTTCAAAATGGGAGGAAGCAGTGGTGAGTGAGAGATATTTAATCAACTATGTAGTAGGAAAGCTATACATATACAATACTGCTTTTTGACATTAAAAAGCATAAAAATGTGAAATTCAATTAGAGTGCTTTTTATATATGATATTACAGGGGCACATCAGAATCTCTGAGGAGGTCTGTATAGTTTGACAAAGCCTATTTGGTGTGCCTATTGCTTTCATATTACAAACTAGACAAATAAAGCACAAGAAAATCTAATTGGCTAGGAATATGAAGATGATATAGTGAGAAAGAATCATGGGGGCATATATTAAACATGGCTGAGAAACACCCTAAAGAGTTACAATACTGACATAGGCAAGGCAAGCATTACATTGAATACCAAAGAGAAAAGGGCCAATAGGAGCAAGTTATTCTTCTAGCTGTATAAAACATGGTTTGCCTGCTTTCATTGTCTGGTATTTGACTGTTAGCCTATATCTTAAGGCAGTCAATTTTTTGTGTGTGTGTGTGAGGAAGATGAGCCCTGAGCTAACATCTGTACCAATCTTCTTCCATTTTATATGTGGGACACCCCCACAGGATGGCTTGATGAGTGGTGTGTAGGTCTGCGCCTGGGATCCAAACCCACAAACCCTGGGCCGCCAAAGCAGAGTACTCAAACTTAACCACTATGCCACTGGGCCTGCCCCTAATTTCTTTGTCTTAAGAGTGGTGTGTTGCAGAAAATAAAAAAATAAATTAGCTTTCCTCACAGTGAGGTAGCAAGCATAATCTCATATACAATAGAGCAACACATTAGCAATCAGAAGGATTATTTTCTTGTTTGGGCTCAGCATTTACTCACCTAAGTACCATTTAATTCATTGTGTATTTGTTTTTGTAAGATCTAAAATAGTGCTCATTTCTTTGTTGGAAAAGTACATTAAATACAAGGTTATGTCCTGTTATCAATAATAGCAAAGTCATGATATTTATCTTGGCATAAACTGAAATATTTTGAAAACCAGACAAGAATGATCATATATTGAGGTTGTTTGCTATTCCATGGGTAGTTATGATTTTCATCTGTAGCACTCATTCTCTTGGATTACTTGGTTAAATGTATCTTTTTAATGATATGTATTACTAAACTTGATATTATGCATTCTGAGTCACTTTCTCCTCTGGGTTTACTCATGAGTGGTCTCACAATGGACCTGTTTATTGCTTGCTATCGTTTTCATGGGGAGAGCACTTCTCTCTATATTCTTCATAATCCTCCACTCAAGTATCTAGATTGTATTCAAGGTTATAATATTTGTCATTAGGATGTCACTGAGTATGAGTTCCATTCTTACAGCTTTGCTAGTTCCCATTAGTAATATGAGAGCACAGAAAGACATCTATCTGGAGAGATCACCAAAGATGATTAAAAACCAGATGATGCATGATTGACATAGCAGACTTTGGTATTGATCCACACACTGTGCTTTTCCAACTATAAATGCTGTGAATGTTCTGAAATGTTAAATGTTAATGTAAAGTCTGAAATGTTAAGCATACACAGGGTATATGTATATTTTTAATTTCTATTATCCATAGACAGAGATAATGTTATAGAAGGTTTATAGGGGAGGGGGAGCCCAAGAGGATAGGGACCATATCTGTCTTCTTCACCACTGAAACCTCAGCACCTAGAACACCACCTGGTACATAGTAGGCAATAACTATTTGGTGAACAAATGAATGAGGTGACTAAAAAGACCAGTGTGTGGCCAGTAGTCCTTTTGACACCAATGCCACATGGAAATTGTTTTTTCATTAGCAATTGTAGCTGCAATTTGTGGAATCTGTTTTCAGTTAGGCTCAATGGTTAGTAGATTTTTGCCCTTCCCCACAAAAGTCTCCTCTTACCAGTGAGACTTGAAGGGCCCTGTTCTGCTCCTCCTCCACCGCTGCCGCCACCACCACTACCATCACACGCAGATACACAGATTACGAAATGCTTGCTCCACCTGTCCTATAGTAAGCTCATACGGCTTTCAGGGCTCCTAATATTGTCTCAGCCAAGTTGAAGAACAAGTGGGTCCTGGTAAATGGTCATAGTTTCTGAATGGTAAAGCAATGAAATTGTATAATGATCACAAACTTTTTTTTTTCCCATGAATTAAAACAACCTACTTCTGGTGCTATGTTGTGGACACAGGAGCCAGTCATTCTGTTTGATGGGGTAGATTGTGAAGTAACTAAAATGTTGATTTTTTTCTCTTCCTCCTCCCCCCACTAACCTTGCAGCTCGCTGTGGTGATGAAGTTGCTCGTTATTTAGATCACCTTTTGGCGCACACTCCTCCCCATCCTAAACTAGCCCCTACCTCACAGAAGGGAGGGCTAAATCGGTTCCAAGCTGCTGTGCAAACAACCCGCGACTTAATGTCCTTGGTGACCAAGGCCAAGGAGCTGCATGTACAGAGTGAGTAATGCCATGACTCACTAGAGTCAGGCACAGGAGGAGGTGAAACCCAGGATGGGGGCGGGGCATTTATCACAATGTAAGCAGGAACTTTGTTGTGTCCACTGCTTTATCCCCAGCATCTTGGACAGCACCTAGAACATATTAGACACTCAAATATTTATAAAATTAATGAATTTTATATAGTTTTGCTATAAATAGTGCCATGTAGGCGGGTTTGACCAGTTACATAGTGATAGAAGGGAGAACAGAAGACATGGAACATATTCAATTTTAACATCAAAGTATTAAAACGGTGGAAAGGGTTTTTTCCTTTAGAAGTAATTTTATTTAAAGAGAAAGCATTGAAAACTATTATAAGATAACCTTGCAATGAAGAGGGAGATATTCTCCCTTAAGTAAACTACACCTGGTTCCCTTATGCCAGCTATAACTCACAGTCAGTTGTCCCAGCAATGTAGACCTGTGTTGTCAACTACAGTACTCATTCTTCAACAACTTTGTCACTCTCCTCCCCATGATCACCACCCTCCTTCAGCTGTATTTGCAGTGGAGGATGTTTTCTACTACACATTGCCAGGAGTAGTCATGGTTCCTAAGAGTCTTCAATGCCTCTATGGTACTGCATATGAAAGAACAGAAGGGCTCCTTGGCCACACCTAAAGGACCTAAATGTTAACATTTTACAGATGATGAGAATGATTGGTATGCATGTTCTTACTGTCTAAAACTCTATTGACCATTACTAACCAAATATATTAAACATGAACATTGGGGAATCATTTAACATTTAGAATAGGGAAAAGCTTGGTATACCCTTTGAGTATGCCTCCTTGATGAAGGGCCTGTGTGAGGAGATCAACTTTATTAAGTTAAACTTCTAGATTGTGAATCAGGAAACTTGAGCTTAATTATCAGCTCTGCTACTTACTTGCTTGAACAGTTATTTGAGTTCTGTAGTTCTCTTACTGTATCTGTAAAATGGTGAAAATGACAAGAGAATCTCAGAGGTTTTGGTAAGTATTTCAACAATAAACTGTAAGTAAAAATCTTAGGAATATGCCAAAGTTGGTTAGCCACTACATTTTTTTGATTCCCTAGATAGGATCATCCATTTATCTATTCTTAACGAAATTCAACTGCTAGCAGCCAGATATTCTCCTGGGAAAGTCCAGAAAATATAAAATATAACTGGGTTCTTTCTGTTGTATGTGGTATTGTATCAAAGTATCATTGATAGCACCATTGTGGTATTCATTACATTTGTAGAATTTTGTAACTTATATGTCCAGCTGATGCTACAGTTCTAGACATTCCATTCAAAATATGTTTATTCCACAACTAGAAGGACCCACAACGAAGAATATACAATTATATACCGGGGGGCTTTAGGGAGAAAAAGGAAAAAAAAAATATGTTTATTGATTGATCAGTCTTTAAATTATTGATATTTCTTTTCTTTGATATTACCAAGAAAAGATAAGTTTCTCATTCTTGTTCTATAAAGAACTGACCCATACATAACTTCATTGTTGAGGTCAACTGTGCATTTTTATTAGTCTCCTAATCATCTAAGCTTTCCCATAAATGTCAACCTCTTGCAGATGTTCACATGTATCTTCCTACAAAGATATTTCAGGCTTCCCGGCCTTCATTCAACTTACTTGACTCACTTCATCATCCACGAGAGGACCAGGTAAACTTGGACATGAGATATTTCTGTTAGCTTTTTTCAAAACTACCAACCTTATGGAAAATAATATAACTAGCCATTATGGTTTCTGCTAGTAACTGGTGGTAGGCAAAATGGTGAAGATATATGTCCCTTTTAATTCACTTTTAAAATGGGAAAGTTTTTTTGTTTTTTGGGGGGGTTTTTTGCTGAGGAGGATTTATCCTGAGCTAACATCCATGCCAGTCTTCCTCTATTTTGTATGTGGGTCACCGCCACAGCATGGCCACCAACGAGTGGTGTAGGTCCATGCCCGGGAACTGAACCCAGGCCACTGAAGCAGAGCATGACAAATTTAACCATTAGGCAACAAGGCCAGCCCCTAAAATGGGCAAGTTTTTCTAGCCAGGCTTTAAGAAAACTAGATTGATGTATCATAACATCTTGAAGGTTTCTTTGTTTTTGCTTTACTTTTCGTCAAAACTTAGAGAATTCTTATGGAAAAGTTTAGAGGTGAAAAGATCAACACTCTAAGGCATTATTTAAGTTGAGCACTTGTGGACTTAATTTTTTTCATCCTTTCTCAAACTAAAGGTTCCCTCTGTTCGTGTAGAAATACATCTTCCTAGAGACCGGTCCGGGGAGGTGGATTTCAAAGCATTGGTTTCACAGTTGAGGGAGACCTCCAGCTTACAGGAGCAAGCTGATATCCTCTACATGCTGTATACTATGAAGTAAGCAATCGACTTTAATGTTCACATAGAACGGAAGTATAACATAGTAAATATAGCGCAGCTTTGGAGTCTCACTAATCTGGATTTGAATACCGTTTTGCAGCCTACCGACTGTGTAAGTTCAAAGCCTCAATTGTTCTCATTTATAAAATTTGGATTATGCCTACCTCATAGAATTCTTGTAAAGATTAAACAAGATATATTATCTGCAAAGTCTCTAATACAATGCTTGGTACATAGTAGGTGCCCAATAACTGATAACTATTATTATCATTATTATGGTCATTTTAAGCCTCCATTATTTGGTAAAATCTACAGTTAAATAAATTATTAACTCAAAAGAAGTAGGAATATAGAGGCTTACAAGAAAAAGAAACTAGCATTTTTTAGTGTTTGCTGTATGTCAGGCACCCTGCTAGGTACAGTATTTCCAAGTACCTCAAACTCAGTATGCCTGAATTGAACTCCTCTCTCCTGTCCCCCATATACCCCTACAAAAAGAACCCATTCTTCCTCATTTATTCATGTTGTCATCACACTGAAGAGGCAAGATGGACCCCCTCTTCCCTAAATTTAATTTGGGCGTTGAGACTGATGATGCCACACATATGAAAAGGTGTGAGATGTTTATTACTCACATAATAAGACTTTATGGAGAGAGAGGAACAGGCTCCTAAGTTGGTCCAAAAAAGGCTGAGTGAGCAGGGGAAGGAGGCTAGATTTGGTATTTTATTATGATTAAGAGGTGAGGCTGAAGTCAGGATTCTCACTGGCACCAAAGAAAGGAACACAGACTTTCTTATCACCTTGCCCAGATGTAGGCTGGAAGGGAAAGAGCAGTGATAGGACTTGAAAGTGGTCAGCAGCCAAACGTCAAAAATGAAGTCAGACTCCATGAAATTCTCCATCTCCATTTCTGGAACCAACACCTAGTTCTCCCCATATCCCGTTAATCACCAAATGTGTGCAGTTTTACCTCTCAGTATTTTATCTTCTGCATCTCTAGTATTGCTACCTTCGTTCAGGCCTTTGTCTCTCACCAGGACTGTTGCTACAGCTTCCTAACAAATCTTCCTATTTCCATCTTGTTCTCAAGTCCATCCTCCACAGAGGAGGAAGGGTAACTTCTTTTTTTACTTTTTATGATAGAAATGTTCAAACTTATACAAAAGTAGAGAGAATAGTATAATGAACACTTTTGGACCCGTCACCCAGCCTGAACAATTATAAACACATGGTTAATCTTGTCACATCTACATTCTCACTCTCTCTTCCCCCTGGATTATTTTGAAGAAGATACCAGGAGTTTTATCATTTTATTCCTAAATATTTCAGTATTATTTCTAAAAGACAAGGACTCTCTAAACATAGTCACAGTGGGACTTCTGGTTCCAGACAAGATAGAGTAGATGCATTTCTCTCTGTTCCTCTTGCTAAGAACAGGAGGACGTTATTTATAAAACAAGCATAACAAGATGTTGAAAGATAGAGAGAAGACAACAGACTGGCTAAGGACCTCAGGATCCAAGGAATGGACAAGGTGATGAGATCCCCAGGTTTTCTCTGTTGACTGCATTGGGATCTGGAGAAGCCAGCAACCTGAAATTGCCAATGGGCACAGACAACAAAAGCCCTAAGGAAAACCTGTTCTCTCTAGACAAAGGACTAGGAAAAGGGCAGCCTAGCAAGACAGACAACTTTTAGACAGTAACACTCCACCATAGAAAAATCTGCGGCCCCACCCCTATCAACAAAGGCTGAGCAGGAAGCCCAGATTTCCACTCTTACCCACTTGTAACTAGGCAGGCACTGTTCCAGTTTCCCCACTGCCAGGGTAGTGTCAAAGAAGGCCAAGTAGGGGTCTGGGACTTTCATCCCCTCTAGGTGGTAATGAAGTCCCCTTGGTCTGTCTGACTCCAAAGCCCGTGCCATTTATATCAGATTGTGGTTTTTAATGAATAAGTGAAAAAGACAGCTGAAAAGCCTGCCAGCACCAAAGTCAAATTTTTACATGTCCAATTATATTAAAAATAGTCCAAACATATTTTTAGCCATTTAGGGCTTGCCTGCTTTGCATCTTCCTCAAAACCCACTCTGCATCTACTAACAGGAGATAAGCCCTGGGCCATTAGTACCCCAAACCACTGCTGCCATTCAGAGCTCTCTAACCTAGAGACTCCCCACAGTGCTACTGAGGGACATCACCTAGACGTGTAACCCTCTCCTCCCCACTCCCCTGGGAGTCCCTTTGCCCTCCTCCCCTTCTAGGTGGTAGAACCTGTGCCTTATATAAACCGGTTTATATAAGGTCTCATGCTGTGAGAGACTTCCCCTCTTGTACAACCCTGTCCAAGTGCCATCCAATAAAGCTTGTTATGTGCTACTGTAAAAAAAAAGACATGAGTCTTATTATTTTGATATTTTTGTTTCTTTTTTCCTTTGGGATAGGGCGCTTTACTCAACAAGTATTGTTGAGTACTTATGTGCCAGGTGCAATGCTAAATACACAGTAATGAAAAGAGAACAGGTGAAAAGAGATAAGGGATAAGGACAGAATGACTGTAGTTTGAATGAAACTGAAGATTCAGCAGGGTAGTTGAGATGGGCAAACAAAGGAAGTTATACATGAAAAGCTCATACTTTCCCACCAATTCAGATGACCCATGGTTGACCGGCAGCTCTTCTGCTCCTAAGACATGTGTTTTCTTCATCTAATCCTATATGTACTAACTTCACCATAACATCTGATTGAACCCTGCAATCTCCCTACAACCAGTACTCCAGGTAGTATCAAAACACTTGAGTAGATTATGTGTGATGTGCTGCATGGGTTTTTATATACTCAGAATTATGCCCAATATCCTTCACGGATTTAAGAGTAGAAGTTGGGAGGTGGGGTTTCCTTTGTCTGTTGACAAAGTATTCCTTCTGTAAATTGTCTGTTTATAACCTTTGTTCTCTATTGAGTTATTTATATTTTTCTTATTGATATTAGATATTGCTGTTTTGTTTGTTATATTTGTTGCAGATGTTTTGTCCAAAGAACTTACTTTTTAACTTTGTTTATATGGCTTTCTCTATGCAAAAGTTTAGGTTTTATATAGTCAAATCTATCAACATTTTCCCTTTTGGCTTCTGTTTTTCTTGTCATGCATGGAAGAACCTTCTCCCTCCCAGAATTTAAAAATATTTTAAATACCTTTAGTAATTTTTTTTTGAAAAATGTAGGTCTTTAATCTATTTGGAATTTATTTTTATACGTGTCTTCTTACTCAACATGTCTAAAATCAAATTCACTGTCTTTACCAAAAACCTACTACTTCCTGACCCTGCTCATGGTATCATTTTTTTCAGTCACTCAGACTTGAAGTTGTGTCATCATCTTCATCTCCTCAGCCCCTGCCTTTCCCTATAACATCTCCACTACCATTGGGAATCAGTGGCCAAGTCTATATCCTCTATGATCTGACTTTTAACCTTTATCTACCTTTGCTTCCCCCTCACAATGTGAATACTCACACCAAAACAGCCTGCCATTTATCACATCCAAAGCACAGCCTATACGTGACTACTTTCATACCTTGGCTCATGTTTTTTCCTCTGCCTGGTCTACTACTCTCCTTTACCACACTGCGTCTCTCCTCATTGGAATTCTAGTTGGTCATCAAGGCCTAGTTCATGTGTCACCTCCATGAAGTTGTCTGTGATCTCTAGGAATAAAAAGCCTTTTCCCTGGGTGTGAGATCTCATACCACTTCTTTTCACATTATGTATTTATTTTTATTTTGACTATTTCAAACTTACAGAAAAGTTGTAAGGATAGTACAAAAAAAATTTCTGGATATCCTTCATCCAAGTCCCTTAGATGTTTACACTGAGCTTTAATCTCTCTCTTTCTCTCTCTCCCCCTCTCTCACCTCATCATCATCATCACCATCACACACATATATTTTTCCGAACTATTTGAGAGTAAGTAACAAACATGATCCCCTTCTATCCCTAAATACTTCAGTGTGTATTTCCCAAAGTCTAGAAATTCTTTTAGATAAGCACAGTACAATTGCCAAAATCATAAAATTAATGTTAAGGCAATACTATTATCTAATCTACAGACCTTATTGAGATTTGTCAGTTGTCCCAATAACGTCTTTATAGCAAAAGAAAATCTAAATTATGCATTTTATTCAGTTCTCGTGTGTCACTAGTCTCCTTTAATCTAGAACAGTCCCTGAGTCTTTATTTTTCATGTTATTGATGTTTTCAAAGAATATAGACCAGTTATTTTGCAGAATGTCCCTAAATTTTGGTTTATCTGATGTTTTCTCATAATTAAATTCAGGTTATGCATTTGGGGCAGGAATACTGCTTGAAGTGATGCTAAGTTCTTCTCAGTGTCATATCAGGAGGCACATAGTGTTGAGGAGTCCTATTGCTGATAACTTTGATCACTTTCTTTCTCATAGTTAAAAAGTCCTCTTGCCTCCAAAGTTATAAAATAGTTCTCCCTTATTTTTCCTAGTACTTTTACATTTAAATCTTTGATACAATGGGAATTCTGGTGTACAGAGTGAGGCATGGATCCAAGTATTTTTTCAGATGGCTACTTGATTGTCCTAACATCATTTAATAAATAATCTACCTTTATCATATATTAAATTTCCAATTTCATAGTACTTTATATATCTTTTATGGTACTTCACAGTTGACGTAGTAATTTTTACAGCAATAGTGTATATGTGTCCCTTTAAAAATAAGCACATATCCTTCTTATTTCTTCGTTAGTTCCCTAAGTGTAGCATACGTTCAGAACTTTCAATAGTTACATTAAATCTTGGACTTTGTTTTCAGCAATATTGAAGCCTGTGAAGAGGGTAAAAGAATGCATTTTGTCAAAACATAGATGAAACTAAGACTTATCTAGGTGTTTGGCTTTCTGGGCTGACTATTAATCATAATTTTACAAGGATTCTTAGTAAATAACATTCGTTTCCTAATGAGAGAGACCTGTCAAAAACAGGCATATCCATTATAACACTGAAACAAAAGATTGTTGTCAGCAGCTTTACTGATAATTAATGTAGACCTGTCTTTAACATTCCAGAGGACCTGACTGGGACACTGGATTGTATGATGAAGGGAGTGCAACAGTCAGAGAGCTGCTCACTGAACTATATGGCAAAGTTGGAGAAATTCGTCACTGGGGCCTGATTCGATACATCTCTGGAATCTTAAGGAAGAAGGTGGAAGCACTCGATGAGGTACTGTAAATTCTTCTTGAATTTATACCAAATCTAAATGGAGGTGCTTTTTAAAAATTGGTTTCTGTAATTATTTTTTGAGGCAACCACAGCATCTAATTATTTGAGATGTTATCTTTCCCACATAAAGCTTATATTCAGTTAGCTTTTTGTTTGTGAATGTCAGATATACAGTACTGAAGCATATAAACTGTAGACTTATAGAGGTGTTATGAACTATAAGAATTCTAGATCTTAAGAATGAATTTACACTAGGCTAAAAAGTCCTGCCTCTTAGGAAATAAAAATACCTCATCGTTTCTTCCTATAAATCCCTCTTTTCTGATCTTCATGATATTTCCTGAGAAAGAAAGTTTATCATTAAGTTAAGGAAGAGGAAAGGTTTCTAGGCTGAGAAGAGTAATTTTTGTGGAAGTCTCACGTGTTATGGGAAGGATTATGCTGTTATGCTATCTCTTCTTAGGCCTGCACAGACCTTCTCTCCCACCAGAAACATTTGACAGTAGGGCTCCCTCCAGAACCTCGAGAGAAGACCATCTCTGCGTGAGTATGGTTTTTGGTTGGATTTGATCAAGTTTCTCTTAGCCTTTAAGGAGCTGTATGGACTGACCACAATTTTCTTGCCCTAATCTGTCAATGAATGATAACGACCTCTATGTGTGAGCTTCTGTGAGAGTTACTCAGTGTGAGAATGTTGATAATGACAAGGCATGAGTAAATGAAAGAGAAAACTCATGGGCAGTAGTACTCAAATGCATTTTGCTTTTTTTGGTTATTTTTTTAAATTATTGGCTTTCCCAAACCTCCCATTCAAACAAAACAAAACAAACAGGGCAACTGGAAATAGTACCCACAAAAAATCAGCTGTATTCTGGACTTTATTCCAGGCCTTTCTCCTCATCTTGTAGATAGCTGTTTTCTCCCTATGTCTCTTCACATTTCTTCCCTCTATGTATGTCTCCGTGTCCAAATTTCCCATTTATGTAAGGGCACCAGTCATATTGGATTAGGGCCCACCCGATGACCTCACTTTAAATTAATTACCTCTGTAAAAACCCCATCTTCAAAAGTACTAGGGGTTAAGATTTCAACATGTGAACTTTGAGGGGACACGGTTCAACCCATAACACCTTGCTCCTGCCAAAAAGAACCTTTTATCACAAATTAGATCCGTTTTGTGACTACTGTGGGCAGTCCAAAAGAAAGCAATGGCATGGTCCATGCCCCATGCCTCCACAGTGCTTAGTATCAACAGGAGAGTCAGAAGTGTGTGTGTGTGTGTGTAAACTGATGAAACTATGGAAAAGCAATATAACTCTGTAAGGTGTGATTGTAAAGTAATAAAATGGCTTCCAAAAGGCATAGCTTAAATTCAGTTTATTACTTTCTGGCCATAATAGTTGCTTGTCAAATGTTAAGAATTAACCATGAAAGACTAGTCTGGAAGAACATCATGGAGTGAGTTTAAAATAAAGTTTTAAAGGAGAAGGGCAATCCAGGTTTAGAGAGGAGAGAGCAGAGCTCTCCTGAGTTGATATGAACCAGAGTGATTTGGGGAGGCTGAAACTTTGAAAACTGAAAGAACCAGAATGCTGCCAGTAATGATGAGATGCTGAGGCAGTAACTTGGGCTCGGGAGGACCTTTTTTATTTTCTCAAGATATTTAGGTTTAAGTAGTTGCAGAATTTTGTCTTTCTTCACTGTCTTCTTCCTCAGACCTCTGCCCTATGAAGTACTTACTCGGCTGATAGATGAAGCCAGTGAGGGGGACATGAACATTTCAATCCTTACACAGGTGAGCAGAATTATAGAGCCTAATCTGGTGATTGATATGTTAAAGTTTGTTTTCAGTTGATCTGGCAATTTCCAAAGACCACAAGATAGGCCTTGTGAGACCTAGGCCATAATTTTTTTCTGTATCCATTCCATGCACAGGAAATAATGGTATATCTAGCCATGTATATGCGAACTCAACCTGGCCTCTTTGCTGAAATGTTTCGACTTCGAATTGGACTGATCATACAAGTTATGGCAACAGAACTGGCCCACTCCCTTCGATGTTCAGGTATTCGACTTAGTAACTATTTTAAGCAGAATTCACTTTTTTGTTTTTTAAAGATTTTATTTTTTTTTTCCTTTTTCTCCCCAAAGCCCCCCGGTACGTAGTTGTGTATTCTTCGTTGTGGGTTCTTCTAGTTGTGGCATGTGGGACGCTGCCTCAGCGTGGTCTGATGAGCAGTGCCATGTCCGCACCCAGGATTCGAACTAACGAAACACTGGGCCGCCAAGCAGAATTCACTTTTAATGTAGGTCTTTTGAGTTTTGGATTAGGAGGGAAAGAAAGCTAAAACATTTTTGTAAGTAGCTTAGAAGCTGCATATAGCAATCTTGTTCCTGTGTTAGTCAATCTCTATTTATACAAGTCAGGGACTGATATTATGACAAATTTATATATTAGTTCTGCAGATTCAAAATTCCACCTCTTGGGGGCTCTGTACTCCAAATTACATTCCCTCTGACTCCTAGAGTGATCCAGAGCAGGCAGTGAACTTGAGTGTGACAGACTGGGTTCAATTCTGATTCAGGCAGTGAAGCTTCTGGATACCAGATTGAGTCATCATTATCAGTTTGATCATAGTGTCAGTATTCTGTCTAGTCAACATCAGGATCAAATAAAGGAAAATTATATTTCTATTAATATTTATCTGACAGGACTCTTTGAAATTAACTATAGGTATATTTGGCAAGATAACAGTTTTAGTTAGAAGAATAGCTGGAGCCTGTGGAAGCTGTAGCATAGAATTGTGTTGCAGGGGAAGGAACCCCCATGCCATGACTATTTTTTCCGTTGGTGTTGTTTGATTTCAACAAGAATGGCGGAATAATAGAGATAGGAATTGCATACAAAAATAAAATCAGGGCCAACCCTGGTGGCCTAGTGGTTAAGTTTGGCACGTTCCACTTCAGCGGCCTGGGTTCAGTTCCCGGGAGCAGACCGTACCACTCTCTTAGTGACCATGTTGTGCTGGTGGCCCACATACTAAAAAATAGAGGAGGATTGGCATGGATGTTAGCTCAGGGCAAATATTCCTCAGCAAAAACATTAAATAAATAAAATCACAGTTGCAAAACTCAATTTTAGCCATTGTTTCAGTTAAATTTCCCCAAAAGACTTTAAATTGAGCTGTTAACAAGTAGCTAAATTTATTGGTTTAAGTCTAACCTAAATTACATGAAGTAATTTATATCTAAATAACCCTTAAAGGGAGAGAGCTAATGATTATTTTATACCTACCATATGCCAGACACTGTGCTTTTTGCTTTATATTTACATACATTATCTCATTTAATCCTTACAACAACTCTCCGGAGAAGGTATTTTTGTCCCACTTTTACCGATAAGGAAACTGAAACTTAGAGGGGTTTTATAACTTGTCCAAAGTTACATAGCTAATAAATAGTAGAATTTGAGTCCAAGTCTGCCTGATTCCAAATGATTTCCAGTTCAGCACAATGTTATAGATTATAGAATATATATATACATATATTTTCTCTAGCTATGATATCAAGGGATGTTTTATGAGGGTCTGATTATTCAACAATAAACCTCAAAGAGGAATAAACCCCCAAACATTCTTCACTTTTCCTTAATTGCCTATTATGGATTTTCTTCATATGGATTCATCAAAACCATGGCTCTTTATTTCTTATAGGATAAAGTCAAGATCCCTGGGTCTGATATTCAAGACCCTCAACAGTCTGGCCTCTACTTCCTATTTCAACAGTACTTTCCACTAATTTTATCAATACCCATCCTTGAAGTTTAATGTCTCCTCTGATTTCTAAAGCATTTATTGTCTGTACCTCTCATTTAGCACTTAGTATAGCCATGTTTTATCGTTATCTTGTTTACATGTCCAATCTCTCCCAAATAGTTGGTCAGCCTCTCAAAATCAAGTGCCATGTCATACCTGTTTGTACTAACATTGCTTAAAATCATGACCTACATGTAGTAGACTCTTAAGTGTCTGATGCTGATGAAGAAGTTCAAGTTATCTTCTTCATATTCTTCATAATTTTTTGAATTCATATCTATTCTCTTTTAAGTCTCTGTGTTTCCCAGCTGAGAAGTTTTGATCATTTTAGTTCATCTGCATATATACATTCATTGCCTTTCTCTGACTGTCTTCCAGTTCCATTGTTCTCCTTTCATTTTCCCACCTTCAAATAAAGATTCTGAGTACCCTAATGGTGTGGAAGTGGGATAAAGAAGAAATCAAGGACCTGGTTAATCAATAAACTGGATAGTCAGTCCTTATATTATTAAGAATCTATTGCAGTATGAATACCTAGGCAGTATGGTGCTAGAAATTTATTTTGTAATTTTATTCTTCCAATCAAATGACTCAGAAATTCTAAGCAAGAAAGGAAATAGAGAAAAAATAGGGCAAGTATGGCAGGCCATTTAGAAATCCCTCTGTCGTAACATTTCTGCTGACTAGCTGAGGAAGCCACGGATGGCCTGATGAATCTCAGTCCTTCAGCCATGAAGAACCTCCTGCATCACATTCTCAGTGGCAAGGAGTTTGGAGTGGAACGAAGTGGTAAGGTTGAGTAACTGCATTTCCATTTCAGAGTGTTTGTTTTAAGTGTCTCATTGATTTTAAAATGTCTTTCTTTTATCAGAGGAATCTTTTCCCCCAAATAAATAAAACCCCAATATGTGAAACAGTTAAAAGTAAAACTGTCTTCTGGAATAAGATTTAGAAATCACTGTATGTCTCATTTTTTCCCTTAAATGATATATCAACTAAATGGATTACTATCATGTTTTATTTTGAACTGTTTTATCTATTCCTTTACATTATTGTAAGTCTCTAGTACAACAACCCATATCATCTGAAACTTTCTTGTATTCCATCCAATTGGCAATAATTCAATAGCCCTTACAGTGGTGTGTACGTGTGTAGCTGCTATAGTACATCTGATGTATCCTTTCACCTTTAAATTCAAATACGTTTAGGAGTCTGTCACAAATTAATCTTCCACCTGCACTTGATGGCTTAGCAGTGGCATTTGGTATCGAGTTCCTAAAACATCAGAGCAACTGAAAAGGATTATCTCTCATGCTCAACTTTTAAGCTAGGATAAATATATAGTGTCAGATAGATGGATAGCAGACCTTAGAGTGGTAAAAGCAAGCTATAAAGCAGTGCTCCTCAAGCCTTGCTGTGCATAATAATCACCTGGGGATCTTGCTAAAATGCAGGCTCTGATTCAGTAGGTCTGGAGTAGGGCCTAAGGTTCTGCTAACAAGCTCCTAGGTGATGCTAACGTTGCTGGTCCATGGACCACACTTTGAATAGCAAGGCTATAGTTGGTTTTTGTTTTTTGTTTTTTGTTTTTTAACATAAAAGAAGGACATAATCTAAGTCTTCTAAATGTGGTGGAGAAAAGAATTTGAACCTGATTATCTTCTCTCTTTCTCTTTAATCTGTCATGCTATATAGTTCGTCCCACTGATTCAAATGTCAGCCCTGCTATTTCTATCCATGAGATTGGTGCTGTTGGAGCAACCAAAACGGAACGAACTGGGATCATGCAGTTGAAAAGTGAGATAAAGCAGGTGAGATACTACTTGGGAGATTAGCTGGGATAGTGTCATGTAAGAGCATTCTTTTGGAATCAGACTTTACTGGGATCGTGTATTTTTTTTCATGTCCTGAGTTTAATTTGAGCCATTTATTTTTCAGGTGGAATTTCGTAGACTGTCTATCTCAACTGAGAGTCAGGTGAAACAACTAGGGATCCTTTAACATAGTTTAACCTGCCTTTAGTTCTGTATAACATGCATGAGCTCATGGCCTTTTTACAAATAAGATAAGCCACAGAGCAGCTTGTTTGATTCTCCTTTATAGAAATCATTTTGTAGATATCTTTCCTTTTTCTGGACCGACCTATTTTGCTGATTTTAGGAGGAAAGTAATTTGTTTCTGATAGTAAGAAATTGAAACCCTGGGTTCCTCTTGTTAGGATTAACATGTAATTTTGGAATTAATTTTCATTATGAAACTAGACTTAGGTTTCTTACTTTTAAGAACAGCTACTAGAGAGAACACCAGATTAGATGAGGGCCTTTTTTTAAAAATCTATTTTCAGGTGTTGTCTCGAAATTAGGTTTTTATCATTGTCGTGATAGAGGTATATGGAAGATATTGTGGACTCATAGAAGAAAAACATCCAAATCAGTCTGAGAGTTCGTGAGAGTCACCAAACATCATATTGTAGCCTCTTACTCATTTTCCCCGGCAGATGAGAATAGATGAATTATTATGTTATACAAAGAAATAGTTAACACAAACTTCCATAGCTTCTTTCAAAACTCTGGGAAATCATGTGATTTCACAGTCTCCAAGTTGAGAAGGTATTGATTCGGTCTCTCCTAATAGCACTTTTTATGAAAAATTTATTAAAACTACTACTCCTACTTTCAAAATAGATTTATGCTAGCTTATAGAGTATTAAAGCACATCCAGAAAAGGGGAAGTGAAATGGAAATTTTGTTTTTGTTTTGTTTTGTTTTGTTTTTTAAGAGTTAGAAACCATTTAGGAAAAAATGAGCCAATGCTTGAAGATTAATTTGAAGTACACTTAATTTAAGTATACTTATCAGATACCCTTGAAAGGACAAGAACAGAATGGAATAAGAAAGAGCCTTGTGATAGACAAATGTTCACTTTACAGATTTTTTCCCAGATAATTTGGGTAATCTGAACATTTTCCTATCTGAAAAGTGAAAGAACTACATTTAATACTGAAGAGTTAAACTGATGTTGTTGGTAAACAGTCCTTGTTTTGTTTGAGAGTGATTGACTAAACATTTTATAGTTGTTTATAGTCACGCAGTATTACTTACAAGCTCATTATATATTTAGAACTTGAAGTCCATGTTCCCAGCTAGATTAATATGAGATTAAAGACTTGATCTACCCAGCTATATCACTTAGTTCTTTTTTTACATATCTACTTACCTATAGGACTTCAAGAAAGCCAAAATCATTAGGACTGTAATTTAGAAGATTGAGAGCCCTACATTTTCATTACTTTCTTATTTCTAAATATTGATTTCCATTCTCACCTGCCTGTCGGGTATTTTTTTTTCTTCTAAGCCCTTTTCTCTACCACTCACCAATGCCCTCTTTTCTGATTATGGGAAAAATATTTTTGAAGATAGGTTTATTTATTTTACCCTTTACCATGACTTCTAGAGTAAGGCTATTTCATCAGCTTTTTAAATGACAACATGCTGGCTAGTTACTTGAATAGTCTGTAATTTTACTGTACTGATAACTTTTAAAAACACAAATAATGGTTGCCTTGTCTCATCCCTTTTAAGATTTTATTTTCTCAAAATTTTTTCATAGTCCAAATGGTGGTCATCCCCTGGCTGTAGATTTGATGTCACTGTCTTTTCTGGTAACTGCTGTTATCTTGTATTACATACCATTCACAAGTGCTTTGAATAGGCTGTTATTTAAATCATGACATAGACTGATTGAAAAGAAAGACGCAATGAATCAGGAACTAAAATAAGTATAAATCAGTTTCATGTGTGAGAGTGAAATCTTCCATTTCTTTCCCAAAAAGGCAGGGAAGGGGGATTCAACTCCAACCTCTTTTTCCATTTCAGAAAACAAAATTCTATTTAATAAGTATTTGTTAAGTATCTGCTTATTCATTTATTCTTTCAACTAATATAATTAATTGCATGCCTACTATGTGCCAGGGACTCTACTGGACAGCATCAGCATCCCTGGGAACTTCTTAGAAATGTAAAATCGTGGTCCCTACCCTAGGCCTACTGAATCAGAAAGGCTGGGATGAGACCCAGCAATCTGTGTTTTTAATAAGCTTTCTAGGTGATTCTGATGCACTTTTAAGTTTGAAAACCACTGGATTAGCTATTCTTCTGATTATTAATTCATTTAGTAAATATTAATTGAGTGCCAATTTTATGCCAGGCACTGGAAATACAGTAGTGAATAAAATAGATGTGGTCCTTGGCCTCATGAAGCTTACAGTTTAGGAAGACTGATCTCTGATTAAATTTCCTTGGTTTAAATCAATGATTCATAACAGCCTATGATTTCAGATCTCTTAGGCTGAAGAGAGTAAGGCAAGATGACAACCAAAAAGTGGAAAACTATTGGAAACAATATTAATATTTCTGTTGACCTTAGCCAAATATCCTGTAAGGAATTTGTGTAGCAAAACTTGGCCAACTCTGTCATATCCACATTAATAAAGGAAGACAGAGGCATAGAGAAAACTCAAAACTACTGATATTTGGTTTTGCAAAATAGTCTGAATGCCCTTTGTGGTTTGACCCCAGTATCAGCAGGCTAGGATCTTGATGGTAGAGACAGAGACAATGAAGATAAATGAAATGGCAGTTCATCTACTTGGCACATCAGTGTGACAGTCACTGGTCAATAAAAATGTCTCGGGATACTTTTCTCTTTTACATAGCAATGCTTGGTGATACCAGCATTTGGCCCAAATTAAAATGTGAGAAGTTCTTTTCTCAGATACTTCTATTATCTTCTTTCTATTTTATATTTATTTCTTAATCTAAACTGTCAAAGAACCACTTTCCCCAACGTATTTCATCCTTCACTCAGTATAAGTTTTCCAAGTTCATTATATTGTAGCATGGATCAGTACTTCATTCCTTTGTATTGCTGAATAATATTGTATTGATACACACCACATTTTATTTATCCATTCATCAGTTGATGGACATCTAGATTGTTTCTGGTTTTTGGCTATTATGAATAATGCTACTATGAACCTTCAGGTACAAGTTTTTATGTGGACGTATGTTTTCATTTCTCTTGGATATATATCTAGGAGTGGAAGTGCTGGGTCATTTGGTAACTAGGTGTAGCATTCTGAGGAACTGCCAAACTGTTTTCCAAAGGGGCTGCACCATTTTACATTCCTACTAGCAATGTATGAGGGTCTCAATTTCTTCATATCATCATCAACCCTTGCTATTGTCCCTCCTTTTGATTCTAGCCATTTTAATGGGTGTGAAATGGTATCTCACTGTGATTTTGATTTGCATTTCCCTAATGGCTTATATTGAGCATCTTTTCATGTGTCTATTGGCTATTTGTTTATCTTCTTTGGAGAAATGTCCATTCAGATCCTTTGCCCATTTGTTAATTGGGTTATTTGTCTTTTTGTTGAGTTGTAAAGGCTCTTTATATATTCTGGATACAAGTCTCTCATCAGGTATGTGATTGGCAAATATTTGCTCCCATACAATGGGTTGTCTTTTCACTTTCTTTCTTTTTCCCTCCAGAGAACATCAACCACAAAATTTACTTTCTTAATAGTGTCATTTGAAGAACAAAAGTGTTTAATTTTGATGAAGTCCAATTTATCTATTTTTTCTTTTAGTGTCACACCTAAGAAGGCTTTGCCTAACTCAAGATCACAAAGATTTATCCCTGTTTTTTGATTTTCACGTTCCATGGTTTTAGCTCTTATAATTAGGTCTATGATTATGTTTGGATGTCCCCAATACCACCCCCAAGTTTGATGACTCACTAGGAGGACTCACAGCTATAATTTATTAGAGCAAAATAATACAAAGCAAAATGAGCAAAGGGAAAAGGTGAAGTGGACAAAGTCCAGGGAAAACTGGCACCAGCTTCCAGAGTACTCTTCCAGTGGAGTCACACAGGATGCACTTAATTCCCCCTGCAATGAGTTGTGACAACATGTATGAAATATTGCCAACCAGGGAAGCTCATTAAAAACTCCACACCCAGGGTTTTTATTGTGGGCTGGTCACGTAAACAGCCTCTGTCTGGCGTGCACCAAAACTCCAGACTCCTAGAGGGAAAGCAAGTGTTCAACATAAACCATAGTGTTTTCACAAACAGTGTAGGCACAGTAAGCCACTGTTATCAGTTCTGGGAATGGTGGGAACCCTCCCAAAATCCAGGTTTCCAAATGCCAGCCAAGGGCCAATCTTGTAAGCAGGCCTTTCCAAGAATATTACTCCTGGCCTACTGTGTTAACTCTTTTCTGCACAATAACCCACGTGGACTTAATTTTTTGTATGGTGTGAGGTGGGGGGTGAGGGGGCTCCAACTTCATTCTTTTGCATGTGAATATCCAGTTGTCTCAGCACCATTTCTTGAAAAGACCATCTTTCCTCCCTTTGGTTTTCTTGGCACCACTGTTGAAAATTGACAAAATGTAATGGTTTATTTCTGAACTCTCAATTCTATTTTATTTATCTAAATGCCCAGCCTATGCCTGTATGACACAGTCAATTGTTATAGCTTTGCAATAAGTTTTGAAATTGGGAATCGTGAATCCTCCAACTTTGGTCTTCTTTTTTAAGATTGCATTAGCTATCATGGGTCCCTTGAATTTCCAAATGAATGTTAGGATAAGCTTGTCAATTTCTGCAGAGAATCCAGGTGGAATTTTGATAAAGATTGTGTTCAATCTGTAGATCAGTTTTGAGAGTATTCCCATCTTAACAATGTTAAGCCTTCTGATCCATGAACATAGCATTTCTTTCAATTTATTTAGGTCTTTAATTTCTTTCAACATGTTTTGTAGTTTTCAAAGTATATGTTTTACACTTCTTTTGTTAAATTTATTAAGTATTTTACTCTTTTTGATGCTATTTTTGTATTGAGATAACATTGGTTTATAACATTATATAAATATCAGGTGTACATCGTTATATTTTGACTTCTGTATAGAC